ACTACCTCAACAAGAACCTGGACCTCGCGTTCCGCGCGGCGTTCGAGCCTGTGCCGAAACCAAATCTTCAACCCGACTTCAATGTGCGCGTATTCGAACGATTTGGACCAGACTCTTTCACTGTGCTTCGAGAACTCGACGAGAGCGATCGATCCGTCCAAAAATCAGCCGAATCGACTTTGATTTGACCGAGCGAGAGAATTCTCAAGTTTGGTGGGGACCCCCCAAACCAGTGGTTGGTTTCGGCACAGGTTCGAGCCCGCGGCGCCGCGGTCCGCGTCGCTACTCTTCGAGTCGCCGCGGCGCGCCGCGAGCGCCGCGGACCTCGTCGCGCCCGCGGCCGTGGCCGCCGACGCCCTCGACGCCGTCGCGAACCGGCTCCCGGCCGTCGACTCGCCGCGCAACGCGGCCGCGGTGTCCCCCCGGCTCCGGCTCGTCGACGGGCGCGCGATCCGGCGCCTCGACGTCGCGTCGCCCGAGCTCGCGGCCGTGCGGCGCCACGTCCGGGGCCGCGCCCTGAGCCTCGCGGCGTCCGAGGAGACGCTGCGGGCCGTGCGCGCGCGCGTCGCGTCCGCGCTCCGGGTCCAGTGCTTCTGGCGGACGCGGTCCGCGCGGAAGCGCGCGCGCGACGCGCCGGCGGCGCGGCCCGCGCCGCGGCCGCGGAAGCACGTCCCGGGCGCCGACGACGGCCGGCGCGCGCGCGTTGCGATCCTCGCCGCCGTGCTCCTGCTCTGGTGCGCGAGCGCCTTCTACGACATCCGCGCGGGCGACGCGCGCGAGGCCCCGCCGGCCGGCGCGAACGCGACGGCCCCGCCGGCCGTCGAGCCCCTCCCGGGCCTCCGGGGCGCCGCCCCGGACGCCGCGCCCCTCCCCGGAGAGCCGGCGGCGGACGACGTCGCCGCGGACGCGGCGCCCGACGTCGCCGAGGTCGCGGTCGCCCCGCCGCCGCCGCCGCTCCGGGCCCTCGCGAACGCCGTCGCCGACCTCCTGGCGCCCCTCCGCGCGCTCGTCCGCGCGCTCCGCTCCCTCGGCCGCCGCTTCGGCCGGCCCCACAGGACGCCCGTCGCCGCCGACGACGGCGCCGACTGCTAACCGTTACAGCTCGCGGCCGCCGTGCGCCCCCCCTTTTTTGAGGTACGCGTCGCCGGGCCAGGGCGCCTCGCCCTCGATCTTCTTCGCGTAGGCCTCGTCCAGGTGGACGGCCTCCTCGCGGATCTCCTCGAGGATGGTGCCTCCCCGCTCCCGGGCGAGCGCGCGGAACTCCCGCTCCTTGGCGGCCTCGGAGAGGCGGAACCGCTTCTTCTCCTCCTCGCGCTGCCGCGTCTCCGCCTCGCTCGCCGTCTTGCGCGCCTTCTTCTCCTCCCCGCGCTGCCGCGTCTCCGCCTCGCTCGCCGTCTTGCGCGCGCGCTGCTTCGTCTCGCGGCTCGATTCGAACCAGGCGTCGTCGTCGGCGGCGTCGTCCGCGGCGATCTTGGCCTTGGTCCGGGCCACGGATTCGATCGCCCACTGCGCGGCCGGCGACACCTGCACGAGCTCCTCGCAGCGGAGCTGCTCCCAGCGGAACTTGGGCGGCTTTGCCATCTTCTTCGCGCAGGCCTCCCAGTCCACGATCTCGCCGCCGAAGTCGCCCGCGTGCGTGAAGCGCTGGAGCAAACAGTCGTGCTTGATGAGCTCCCGCTGGTGCTCGTCGCACTCCTGCTGCAGGATGAAGCGCGGCACCTTCTGGCCGTTTCGCTCGAGCATCTCCATGCGGTCCGCGGCGCCCAGGTTCGGGTTCGCCCGGAAGACCTGCGTCGGCGTCGACGGCATGAGGTGGCACTCGAGGGACGCCCACTTCTTCTCGAGGTACTCGCTGTGCGGCTCCGCCTTGCGCCGCTCCGCGAGGCGCACGCAGGCGCCCAGGTCCTTCACGGCGCCGCGGGCTGCGTCGCAGGCGAGGAGCGCGACGAGGAGATGTCGGCGCATGGGCTGCACGAAGCGGAGAGCCATCGTGCTTTTAGGCAAGAACTTGATTGAAGCGATGGTGAACCACCTACTAGCGTGAGCATGGGCTGCCTCGACTGAGGAATGCAACGCGAGCTCGGCTGCGTCCACTTCTTCGGCGAGAGCGCGTCGCTGCGCCGGTCCTGGCTGGCGCGAAAGGTGCAGCTGGGCATCGTGTGGTACGTGTTCACGGTGCTCCGCGCCGTGGCCTTCGTGCTCCATCGCATCCTTCGCACGCAGCCGACGCCAGCTTATAAACGTGCATGCCGACGAACTCAGCCCGGGAGGGCCGTGCCCGGCGACGAGCCGCGGCCCGAGCCGCTGGGAAAGCACATCTACGCGGATCGCTGGCGCCGCGCGAGCGAGCAGCTCGCGCGCGAGGCGCGGCGCCGCGGCGCGGTCGACGCGCTGATCGTCGGCGACTCGATCAGCGAGACCTGGCTCGGGCGGGACTGCGGCGAGCCCATCCCGCCGGGCTCGCGCGCGGGCCGCGGCGTCCCCGCTATTCTCCGGGAGACCTTCGGGCGCCGGACGGTCGTCGTGAACGCGCTGGGCGCGGATTGCACGCACCACTGCCTCTGGCGCGTCACCAAGTCTGGCGCGCTCGACCATCTCCGTCCAAAGGTCGTCTTCCTACTCATCGGCGCGAACGACGCCATCGCCGCGATGATGGCGCACTGGTGGTGGGCGCTGGCGCCCGACGCGCCCGCGACGCGGGCCTGGGCGCGCGAGACGGGCGACCTCGTCGCGGACGCGGTCCGCGCGATCCAGGAGGCGCTCCGGCGCGCGTTTCCCGGCGCGCGGCTCGTCCAGTGCGGCGTGCCGCGCCTCGACCGGCGGAACATGGCCTACGCGACGCGCGTCATCGCCCGCGCGAACGCGGCGCTCGCCGAGGGGCCCGCGGAGTGGCTCGACCTGGACGCGGCGCTCGCGGGCCGCGGCGTCTTCGAGCCCGACGGCATCCACCTCACGGAGGCCGCCTACCGCCGGCTCGGCGCGGCCCTCGCCGCGAGGCTCCCCGCGGGATAATCGCCCCCCCTGGGCATCTGGTCGCTTCCCCGCGGTGGGTCGTTACCGCGGGCCTTCGGCGCGGCCGTTCGCCCCCCCTACTCGACGGAGTCGAGGGGGTCGTTGTTCGCGTCGGGCGCGACCTTGGGCGCGCGGGGGTCGATCTCCGGGTTCGGCGGCGGGGGCACGTAGCCCTCGCGGAGGAGGGGCTTGTTGATGATGCGGTTCCAGATGCCCCACTGCTGCCGCGCGGAATACTGGTGGCAGACCCACATGTAGAGGCGGTGCTGGCCGTAGTGGGGGTCGAGCATCCAGTAGATGACCATGCAGTTGTCCTCGCCGGCGTTGATGGCCTCGAGGGAGTTGCCCTCGTAGTCGTTGAAGGGCGGCTTCGACAGGCCCTCGGCCGCGTCGCCGTAGAGCAGGTCGCCGCGCTCGAAGCCGATCATGACGCCCACGGAGAAGTTCTTGCCCTTCTTGCAGCCGTGGCCGTAGACGTTCTTGGGCGTCGGGAGCTTCGAGCCCTCGACCATCTTGTCGTGGTAGCGGTTGCCCGTGCGCGTCCACTTGAGGATCGTGTCCCACTCCGTGCCCTCGCCGAGCGAGAGGCGGCACATGTCCGCGAGGTGCTTGTAGACCGCGTCCTTCTCCGCCTGGGGCTTGTCGGACTGGAAGACCTCCCAGAGCGTGTCGGCGACCTCCGGGTGCATGCCCTTCTGCCAGCCCACGGGGCTCCGGAAGCCCACGTACTCCTCCCACATGCCGTAGTCGCACGCGCAGCAGATCCAGTGGCAGGGGTTGCCCATGAGGAACGCGTAGTGGCACTTGCCCTCGATCTTGTGGTCCATGTCGGCCTTGAAGTCCGGGTAGGGCACCGTGAACTCGCCCTTGAAGTTGGGGTCGCGGTAGAACGGCCCGCCGCGGAGCCGCTCGTCGTCGGGGTCGAGGCCCTCCTTCCAGTTGTCGGGGATGTGGGACGTGTCCCAGCGCGACTTCCGCGGGTTGCCGTCGGCGTCGAGCTTCACGTTGCCGTCCTCGTCCTCCGTGTCGCTGCCCATGTCGCCGAAGCCCGACACGAACGGCTCCTCGTCGTCCGGCGCGTCCGTCGTCTCGCCCTCCGTCGTCGTCGTGTCGCCGGCGCCAAAGGTCGGCTGGCGCGGCGGCGCGGGCTTCGGGGCCGGGGCCGGGGCCGCCGACGACGGCCGCGGCGGGCCGATGCCGAGGCCCTCGGCGCCGGACGACTCGGCGTCGGTCGTCGTGTCGCCCATGCCGAAGGACGGGCTCGCCGGCACGGGGCTCAGCGCCGGCGCCGGCGCCGGGCCGCGCGCCCGGGCGATGCCCAAAGCGTCCGTGTCCGTGTCCGTCTCCGACGTGTCGCTCGCGCCGAAGGACGCCATGGTGGTGTCGGCTCGGAAAAGCAAGCTATACGCAGCCCACTTCGCGTGAGTCGGAAAGCAAGGTCTATACGCAGCCCTCGCCTGCAGCTGAGGAGTGCAAGTTGTACTGCAATGAGACTGGAGGAGCAGGGGTGTGCTATGGCTCGAGCTGCGCAGGCTCCTGCGGCAATCGTTCTCCTCAGACTGCTGGTGCTGCCCTGTGCCACCCCGCTGCGAGCACCGCCGCTGCATCGCTCGCGCCTGCCGCCGCTGCGCGCCGGCGACGCGCCGTCGCCGTACCCGCCGCTCGCCGAGGCGGACATCGCCGCCCTCTTCCGGGAGGTGCCCGTCTTCACGCTCGCCAACGACGAGGGCAACCTCGCCCTGCTCAACGACGGCACGACCAAGGCCGTCGAGTTCTACGTCGACGTCGACGTCGCCGTGCAGCGCAAGCAGTTTTGGGACGAGGACGACCACCTGACGGTGAAGCCGCTGTCGCTGGGCAAGGCGCTCGCGGCCTACGGCGACGACGAGGACGGCGCGCGCTTCGTCGCCGGGCCGCGGGAGCTCGCGCGGGCGCGGTCGATCTTCGTGCGCTGCGTCGGCGGCGACGCGCCCGAGGACCCCCGGGAGCTCCTCCGGGCCTACGAGGCGCTCGACGACCGCCGATCCTTCGCGGAGCCGACGGACGTGCCCCTCTTCTGCGTCGACGCGTTGCGCCGCTCGGCGGACGAGCCGGCGCCGTGGTACTTCAGCATGAGCGACCTCCTCGAGACCTGGACGTCCGCGGGCGGGACCGAGGCGGCGGCCCTGGACCGCGTGAAGATGGTGAACCTCCGCGAGATGCTGCGGCTCCTC